ATCTTCTGACCTTTACAAATGAAACAGCTCAGCACTATCCCATTAAGAGTTTAAAATGCCAACTAATAATCTTCGTTTAATCTTTTTGACTCTTTAATTATTTAAATAATTAGCGTTGAGGCAATCCTGTGGTCGCGAGCCATGATTTTATCAAAGATTATTCAGCGCAATGATGAGATGAGGTGCATTATAAATTGAACTGAAACACAAAGTTTTCATTTCGTTTGTGGCCGCGGTAGCCAAGTGACCAAGGTATCGGATCATAGCAGGCATGTCATGAGTTCGAGACCAGTACCACTTAAGTTCCGCCTTGTAGGGGAGCGATGCACGTTAAATCTGTCTAGATCTCAAATGTTATCCCATTGGTGTGGTGTGGTAGTTAGGATAGGGGATTCCAGCTCAGATGTTGCCCTCGTCACTTGACCATGGTTCAAAATTACGAGGTCCGTCACCAAAAGCCCTCTTGTAGCTGAACAGTGAAACTTTAATATTCACTAACTCATTCCATTTCGTGTGGTTTTACTATTTATTAAAGAAGCTACGTGGGGGTTTGTTCATGACGAACTCTGAAATGCGATCAAGTAACGAGGTTGACACCTGAGCTGTCATCGTACTCTCCAAATTTCCACATCGCCCTAACGTTAAGACTTTTAACCCCGGCAATTCTAACTTGAATCAACCCCTTTTCACACGAGTGAGTGAATATTAACGTCGCACTATTCAGCCACATGAGAGCTTTGGGCAACGGATCTCGTAATTATGAACCATGGTCAAGTGGTGAGGACGACACCTGAGCTGCCCTCTCCCAATTTCCACACCTCAACAACGGGAGGACATTGAGTCTCAATAGATTTCATGAGCATCGACTTCAGCCTCGAGTTCGTGACCATAACCACAGGCTACTGCGGCCACACGTTACATTTAGACCACACGTTATTTTAGATTATTCATTATTCTGAACTATGGATCAAGTTACGAGAGCGACACCTAAGCTGGCCCCTCTCTCTCCAAATTTCCACTCCACGCCAACGTGAAGACTTTCAGCCTCGACAGATTTAACTTGCATCAATTCCCTTTACATCAGTCCCTTAGCATCAAGACTCGACCACAGCAACACCAGTTTTTTTTATGAAGTTAAATTTTGTCTCTTTCTTTTGTTTAAATTTGTGGTTTAGGATGTGCAAGTAAACTCACTGTAGTTAGAGTTAATGTATTATCTTATAGTTTTTCTCGTTGGCTGGAAATCGAAACCATTTCATCGAAATTTTTATTTCAATTTATTTTAACAGAATTATTTCTGTCTTTAAAAATTCAGTGTTAAATAAATGTAAAACGTTCCACTTGTGCCAAGTACTTATTCGTAACATATTTTTGAAAATTAAAAGTAAGTGTTACTTTACTGGTTGGGGACCCCAGTCTTCCCATCAGAATGGTTCCAAAGTTGAAAGCTCTCGTTGGCTCAGCTCGGGCCCCGCAGTTGAAAAAGAAAGAAAGAAAGTACTCGCCACGAACACGCAATCACCGCCGCTCTTATTTACTGTTGATTGTTTATTAATGTCGCACTCAAAATAAACACGAGACCATAGGCAATGCGTAACTTTGAACCATGGTCATGTGACGAGAATGACGCCTGACCTAGTACCCCCTTCCCTCTTAACTACCAAACCGACGGGAGGACGTATGAACCTCCACAGATTTAACGTGCATGGGTCTCCTCTACACGACGGGCCCCTGGACTCGAATCCACGACACTCCACGACGAGTTTGAGACCATAACCTCTAAACCCGGGGTGGGCATTACGTCGATCGCGATCGACCGGTGGATCGCTAAGACATTTTGGGGTGACCACCTAAGAATTTTACCTGTTCGTAATTATATACGGAAAATTCAAGATTGGTTGACAGTACGCAGACTAAACCTTCTACTGACTATAACAACAAAAACTAACTTTAGATAAAAATGTTTTACCTTTTTAATGTATTTTGAATCGTTTCGTAATAAATGTATAATTTGATATAATTATATTTCGGGCAATTATTATTAAGTTTGTATCTTGCGTTTTGCTTTAAACGTGTTTTAAAAGTCATTTTTTTTTAAATTTTAGTTCTGTAGGTTAGTATATTTAATACACACATATTCTGTACTTATTATTAAGTTATAATAATAACCTTTTCCGCACCTCACCACATCTACGACAATGGGCAGCAGAGTACACAAGAATTTTTAAAGGGAAGTCGGTCCAGGGTTCTGGAGGGGTTGTTATTCCGAAGGACAACACGTGAGAGGGTGCCAAGTTGGTGAATTTTCAAAACTGTGCTAACCATTGGACGATTCTGCACTTACACCGAAGTTTGAAGACAGAAGTGACATCCATATCAGTAAACGTTGTTTAAAATTACGAGGACCGCCGCTAATAGCCTTGTGTAGCTTCTGAGTGTTACGTAAAGGATCAACCAATCAATCAATCTGATATTGATGCCATGGGGTCGGCCACCCTGTGGTGCCCCAGGGGCTGTGGCGTGCCAAACCAATCTACCAATGTGTTTCAGCGTGCCACACAGAAGGACATTTTTGAAGCAATTCGATTCCTGCAATAATGCATGCAGAATTAGAGAGTAGAGGTCCATAATATAGATTTACAGTTTTATTATATATTAATTTTGAAATATTTAAAGATGTTTCTTAACATAAAAATAAACATCGTAAAATATAACTATTTCTTTAACGAAAATAAAAAAAAAAAATTAAAATTGTACATATATTATTTACTTTTATCATATTTATTAAAATAAGAAATAGACAACATAAAATTTAAGTATTTTCCTTCGTTTATAGTTAAATAAAAAGATAAATAAAATTTTTTATGGAAAACCTCTAATGCTAACATCGCTCTACTTTCATATCACAAAATCAGGGGTATAATTTGTGACTTTAAATTTGAGACGCGATTCTGGGCATTCAGTTGCTGAACAATTTCTTTGCGGACTTGAAATATTTTTTAGTTAGATATGTAGAGCCAAAAGCACACACACACACAAAAAGCGGAGCACATGCAATTTTCTCTCTTCAACCAATGAAATTTTGTCCAGCGATGACATTTAATAATTTACAAAAAGAAAGAAAAAAAATAGTTGTAAATTTATCTTTCAGATTTTTTTCATAATTCCGTAAATGTTCACAATTCTGTTTGTCAAATAAAGTCCATTGCAAATTTATCAACTTCCATCCACTCAAAAATTGACAAATTCGTAGAGCAATGAAAATTGTACCTCGTGTCACATGTGGCACGCGTGCTATAGGTTGCCAACCTTTGATTTAGACTTTATTGTAAAAAGTATTGGAAAGTTCGTTGCCTAGTGACCTGAGGGTCAATGGCCAGGCATTTGATAAGGAAATTAAAATTTGGTTCCAGGGAATTCATTATTACTATAAAGAGGTAAAATATAACTATATTTCCTCAACAAAAATAAAATACATTAAAACTTCACATATATTATGTATTTTTAAACATAATTATTAAAATAAGAAATAGACAACATAAAATGTAAGTACGTCCCTTCGTTATCGTTGAATAAAAAGAAAAATACAATTTTTAGTGCGAACTTAGTGCTTGCATCGCTCTACTTTCATATTGCAAAATCAGGGGTACAATGTGTGACTTCCAGTTCGACACGATACTGATAATTCAGTTGTCAAGCAACTTTTTTTTTGCGGTCTCGAAATATTTTTCGTATGAGGAAAGATTTTTTAATTAGATATGTAGAACCAAAGTTGGAAAGCAGAGTCCACGCAAATTTCTCTCCTCAAACAAAAAATATCTCCAGCAATGACATTCAGTAGTTTACAAAATAACTATAAATTTATCTTCAGAGTTAGTTTTCAGATTTTTCCGTAATTCGGTAAACTTCCATAATTCTGAAGAAGTTTGTCAAATAAGGTCCATTAAAAGTTTATCAACTACCCTCCACTCAAAAAACTGACAAACTTGTAGAGTATAGTGCAAAGTTCCTCTGTTATGGTATCCGAACACGTTCGGAGTACTTTTTAACAAAATAACATACTAAAACATTATAAATGCTCTTTTAGGACTCAATATCAATAAATATTACTATTTAACTATCAAAATTTAAAATAAATTATCTGAATTTTAGAAAAAATCACAATTATAAGTGAGATTTTAGCAATATTTTTGAAAAACTTCAAATCAGTCAGAGAAAAAAGCAATAAACATATATTGGTAAAAGTATTACTAAAACAAATTAGATGCGTTAATATAGAAAATGCACTAAAATTTTAATTTTTTATTAAAATTTGAAAATTTTAAAGCTGATTGAGTAAACGTTTTCGAAATGTTACTTTTTTTATGAGACCATTATTTAAATAACAAGCCATAACTCAAAAAGTATTCATACAATAAGAAATATTTTAGTACATTCTCTAGAAAAAAACATAAATATCAGGTTTAAAAAGTTTTATAGAAATACATCCGTAATATGTTGAGTTATCAGACTCGCCATGATAGATTTTGAGTAATTTAACTGCCCATTCTGATAGATCAAAAACCCACTTCCGGTTTTTCTAAATTTATAAAATTGATTGCAACTTGGCCTCTTGGTAGTGTAGAAGCAAAACAAAGTATGTTTCGTAAAGTCAAAAGATAGCTCTATTAAATAAAATAAAAAACAAAAATATATGTCGTGATTGAATTTGGTAATTTTCAACGTGTTCGGATACCATATGTGCGCCATATGTGTCCATATGCCATATGTGTTCTGTGCGCCATATGTGTCCAGCTAGCCATAGGTTGTCGACCCCAGTTAATGCCAACACAATCACAAACTCAGATACCGAATCCACCAATCATTTGCTTGTTTGCATTAACGTTCACTTTAGGCAGAGGCTCTTAAACTTTCGATCCCCCTTTCATGTATTACCCCGACATCGTGGACCCCTATGGTTTTGAGAACCCCTCTTTTGAATTAATATTCTTGAGCGAAATACATTCACTAGTATAGTGTTTATGACCCTCGACTTGTACTCGAGTGGGCTCGGGTTCGAATCCCGAAAAAGGCATGGATGTATCTTCGGGAAAAGAAATCGGACTTCCGCCTGAAATGGATTCCTAACTCGAATGGAAAGCAGCACACTCCTTCTGTTTTAAGGGTCTAAGGGGTGTTAAAAAATTTTTTTTTCGAATTTTCGAAAAAAATATATCTTGTTCTTCATTTTTTTCTGAACATTTTGATACTAACCACGTGACAATACTCTAAAAACTTCGAAAGTTATTCAAAAAATTGCAAACAGCAATTTAGTCATAACAACTTTTAAATGGACACATGTCACGCCCATTTATTTTTAAATTCATGCATACCATTTATTTTTTTGTTTTTAATAAGCCTCATGAAATATTTTAAGCGCTTGAGTTGATCAGAAGGAAGCCTGCAACTCAACACATTCATTCTGCTGTGTTTTGATTCTCTTGTGTTTACTTTAGTACACGTTTTTTTAAAACGCTTATCTAAAGCGAAGATTTTTGTTGTTTTATTTTGAAAAAATCGTTGGGCAATGTGCCCCAGGAAAAGATTTAGAGGAAATAAATATTTAAAGGTAAGTGACTCACATGTTACAGATATGAAACATACGAAGAAGTGTGTAGAAATGAAAAGTACAAGTAAGTGTGCCGAAATGAAAAATGCTTCTAGTAAAAAACTTTCAGGAATTCTGACTTCATTAAAGTCAAATCTTGTTAAGGTAAGTGAAAACTTCAAAGAATATCGTATTTTTGATTTTATTTAAACCTTTAGTTCTATTTTGTCAGTATCATGCTGTTTAAAATGTCATAAACCATTAACAATTAATGAAAAATCCACTCGTGGTTTTTGTTCGAATTTTGAAATACATTGTAAAAAATGTGGGAGTATTTGTACTTTTTCAAGCTGTGAAAACATTGGGAATAAAAATAATGCTCCAGAAATTAACAGAAGATCTATTTTAGCAATGGGATGCATAGGTCAAGGTTTAGAGTCATTAAAAACCTTTTGTTCTGTAATGAGTCTTCCTAATCCTGTTGAACAAAAATCATATGATGCTATTAATAATAAACTTTCACTTGTTATGAAGGAAGTCGCCGAAGAAAGCATGAACAGGGCAGCTGTCGAAGAAAATTCTTCGTTACCTGATAACATTTTAACGGTAAGTGGTGATGGGACCTGGAAGACGAGAGGACATTCATCGTTGATTGGAGTATGTACTCTAATGGGGCCGAAACAGGTAAGGTTTTGGATAGGGAAGTGTTGTCCTCATTTTGCAAATGAAGCGACAGTTATAAAGGGGTAAAGTTTGGTATCAAGTACAATAAATTGCAAAGAGCGCATAAGATTTCATGTAGAAAAAATTATTCTGGCTCTGCTGGTAAGATGGAGGTTGACGGGATGTTGAGGATTTTTAATCGATCAGAAAAGCTTCACAACCTGAAATATTCGAACTACATAGTAGATGGCGACACAAAAACAATCAATGCCCTTTCTGAAAACAATCCATACGGCTATGACCATCTTATTCAGAAAATAGAATGTGTAGGCCATGTGCAAAAGAGAATGGGTACAAGACTTAGGAAGCTTAAATTAGTATATGGTAAGAAGAAATTATCTGATGGTAAAACTATAGGCGGTAAAGGTAGGTTAACTGATAGTTTAATTGATAAGCTTGCGCATTACTATGGTAATGCTATTCGATGCAATTCTACTAGTGTAAAGGAAATGCGGAAAGCCATTTGGGCTGTTTGGGGTCATTCTTGCAGCCCCGATGATGAACCGATGCACTGATTTTGTCCTACAAATCCAAATACATAGTGTAAGTATAATGCCGCAATTAATAATAATTTACAAAATTATAAACACAAACCCTCAGTTGCGAAAGCTGTTCGAGATGTAATTAAGCCTGTATTTGCAGACTTATCTCATCTGGCACTCCTGAAGAAATGCTTAGGAGGTAAGACACAGAATCCTAATGAAAGTTTAAATTCATTAATCTGGAAGTTTTGTCCGAAGACGATTGATTCTAGCCTTCAGATTGCAGAGATTGCTGCAAATCTAGCAACCAGCATTTTTAATGATGGAAATCAAATACTTATTACTATTTTAGAGAAATTTGGCTTAAAAATTAACAAAAATGTTTGTGTGTCCCTGGCTGAACGTGACAATCGTCGAATCTGTACGTCAAGAAAGAGGAGCTCAACGTCATCGTTTGAAGCTCGCAGAGATTAAAAAAATTAAAAAGAGTACAGAATTTGAGCTGTTTGAGCAACAGGAAGGCATATCTTATGATCCTGGAGCCTTTTAGCATGTAAGTTTTAAAATTTATTTTCTCAAATTCAATTTAAAACTTTAAAGCCTTTTTTCTCAGTTTGTGTTTTTTTCACTTACGCGCATTGCGTTTCAAAAACTATCATACTTTGATGCATAAAACTCTACAGAATTATAAACTCTATCATAATCTTTAAATCCTAGCTATTTATAATATTACATATTTGTAATTTTTTGAAAAATTTCAAAAAAATAAATTTTTTGAAAATTTTTTAAAAATGTACTTTTTTTATTTTTTAAAAATATTATTTTTTATTCTTTTTATATCTAATCGCTACCATCTAATAAGGATATATTTGACTTTAAAAATCAACTTATTGCTAGTAATTAGAATTATTATTTCAGAAAATATCATGCGCGTCGTAAAACTTACTATTTGTTTCTTACAAAAAATTTTTTATATTGATGTGCTTATTATATTTAAAATTATGATTATATTTTAGACATTTTATACTTTTTTGAAGCTTTATTCCTTTATAAAAAATGTGTAAAAGAATCAAATTATTTCATTTTAACCTCAAAGAATTATTTCTAGTCGAAAATTGTTCATATTTTGTGCTCTCGAAACATTTTTAACACCCCTGAGACCCCTTATGCTGTAATCATCGTGTGTAATAAAAATATATATTCTGTGTTTGTGTTGTAAGTTTCTGTTCTTCCATAAGTATCCCAGGATAAAACACACGACAACAACAAGAATACCTGTTCTAATGGAGTTTTATTATTGACGGTAATTATATATATATATATAAATGATCTATAATCTAGGATGGCACGTCTTTCAACTTTTTTAGTCTGTAAAATAGTAAATCTTAATATTAAAAGAAAGACCTTCGCGGACCCCCGGGGGTCCACAGTTTAAGTACCATTGTTCTAGGGCATGTTCAAGATAATAGTCTTTGGTGTGTGTGTGTGTGTGTGTGTGTGTATTCCATCCTTGACATAAATCAATAACTGTAACCGTAACGCAATGTTCCTTGACGACAGACCTCGTTACTAAGATTTTCTCTCAGTTATAAGATGAGAATCACACACAGTCCTGAAAAATAGTTTTTTTTTTTTCCTTCTAACTTTCACATAAAAATTTTCATGGCCGGCTGAATTTGACAAGCTGTAACCCAGTTATTTAGAAAGTTCTGAAGACTCAGGCCGATGAATCTTGGGTATCATCAACAAACATTTTGTACTGTACTGTGTACCTGACTCTCTTTTCCCCTATTCATGCTAATTGTAATTAGTTTTTAACAGTATTTTATATGGAAAAATATAGGGACAGCTGCATGCGACGTTTCGCCATACAAGAACTTACTGAAAATAATGAGAGCATCTTTTTCTTGAACATGAACAACAACAATTTTTATTAATATCCATTGATTGAAATAACAAACACAATACATTTAACAAGAAAAAGAGAAAATGGACTAAGCCTGCAGACAGGAAGCTAAAGCTAATAGTTAATCAACAGAATTTTCCAAGGTTCGCTTTAAATACAACGGATTAAATTCACGAAGGTCACTCATGGGGATTTTTTATGGAATTCAAAGTTGACATTGTTCTCGTACTCGTAAATTCAGACACAATGTCAAATTTGGAAACTGGGGGAAGATATCCAAATGTTAAGATTCTTAATAAAGCTTTTCAAGTAATACAAAAAATTCTTTAAAAAGGGGTTTTTTTTTAAAAAAAAATCAAGAACATTTTGTTGATCTATATACGTTTTTATTGCTAGAAAATATGCAATTTTTAAGAGAAAGTTTCGGTAAAAAGCAAAAATTGGCAACAATGAAGGCATTGGCTGGAAACAAGTCATTGCATTTATCATTTGACTATGACTTCAAGTGAATTTAGCTAATTAATTATAAATAAACAATAGCTGAGCTTCACTTTTATTTTCATTGATATATATTTGCTTATTGATTACTATTAGCAAAACGTTTAATAAATTCATTTAATTTCAATACGTTGTTATTTACGTGTACCCTTATGTTCATACTGTTGTTGTTGCCTAACTGGTTAGCTGTAGGCTAGATTAGATCCTAAGTAGAATTTCGCATCGTCAGAGCTCAGGTGCTTCCCTCTGTGGAAGAAACTGGGCGTCAAAATTGCTTGCAGCAATTGGTATCGCCAATATGGTGCCGCAATAAAAAGTGATATCTTGTGACTCTTGGGGAATATACTAGGTCTGCAAAGGTAAAAAAAATACCAATCCGTAGCCTTATTAGAAAAAAAAAGACCCACGAGACCTTTAACTGAAAAGAAGTCCGAAACAAAAGAAAGGGATTTAGTTATAAATCCTCTTTTACAAGTTCCACGTACGACAGATGATCAGAGAGTATGTGAGAGTTGTTGCATTTGCCACGGCTGAGGAAGGTCTTATTTTCCCGGTCACATATTTAAGGTAACTGGTCATATTTAAGGTCTGCGACAGGGAAAAATGAACTTTCTTTGCACCAAATTAAATAGTTCTCACTTACTTAAATTAAAAGCAACGGAAGTAAAATTTTTACGTTAAATTATCTGTATATTTATGTACCTGTTAATGAAGAATATTACATTGTAAATTACAAATAAATCTGTATGAGAAATAATCAATCAATAACTATTTTTTTTTATTTTCAAGGCATGTACACTTTGCTTAAAACCTACTGCATATATAGCTATGAAATTTTACAGAGTTTTTGCAAACATAATAATCCATAAAATAAATTAAATTAAAT